TCTCCATGGAGTTAAGCATAGTTTTCTTATTATTGTACATTATGGATGAGTTCAGTTTATAATCTGATACATGTATAGTAAACCATGTTTTCATTTTCATGGAGCCTTTGCTATATGCTTAAACATATAATAATAATAGCAATGCCGATCTAAAATGACTTTGTGAGAAGTTACATGGAAGGAACAATGCTAAGTAAGTGCTGTATGAATGCCATCTTCCTAGACTCTGTCAGTTTGGCTTAGTCTGTGTACAACACGCCTGCCAAGCACAAGGCCTTGCCCAGAGAAGTTGTCTTCTCCTAATATGTAGGGTGAATGTCTTTTGTAGCCCCTTGAAAGAAATCCCCACGTTTTGAATTTTCAAAAAGTCACATTTTCAAAGACGCAGAGCTGAATTGCAGAAGTGAGATTTGGATGCAGGACTCTGGGACTCCAGGGCCATCTTGACTGTTAATTAGTGCCAGGCCAGGTGGGCTGACCTTGGGCAGAGTTGTGCAGGGCTGAGAGGGAGGATGAGAGGGAGGACTCAGGCTGCTCCTGACGGCTGGCCTGGCTCCCTTGCTTCTCTCTGTGGCCACTTAGTTCCCAGCTCTGCCTTCTTGATTTCTAAATTGGTGTTACTGGTGGCAGCCGGCAGACTCCTCAGGGTAAGGAAACGGGAGTGCATATTTATGAATTAGGACGTGCTAAGCAAATATAAAGGGAATTATTGTTCTTCTAAAATACCTTTCAAATAAGCATGCTGGCGTTTATAGAAGGTCAGTACACAGATATTAGTGAAATGTAAATGGAAGCTTTAGAGCATCATACAAGGGAGTAGCATGTATTTTTTGGAAAATAAGAAATATATTTAGATTTGTGGCCCATAAAGTGTCTGTCACAACTACTCAGATCTGGTGTTGTAGCATGAAATCAGGCATAGAGGTCATATAAATGAGGAAGCAGGGATAGTTATCAGTTTACATTTTGCTTGGAAAAAAAAGTGGTGGGCTGGATTTGGCTCAAGGCTGTAATTGGCTGTCTTCAGTTTTATGACAGCAGGTAGTTGAGCAAAATATAAACACACGGTTTACATTATGCATATTAGAAAATATTCCAGGGTTATTCCTTGTGTATGACAATAATAAGAATGAGAGAAACACACACGCATATGTCCTTTATACAGTAAAATATCTTCTGAAAGAATATGAACAGAGTCAGAAATTTGGTAGGCCCTATTAAAATGTCTTAATTTTGATATTTAATTGACATAAGGCTCACTTTTTATGGTGACTTTGCCAGAAGCTGCATAATATTCAGTCTGATCATTCATTCCCTTTTGCTTATTTTATTATCCTCTAGGTCCTGTAGGTATTTGGGTTTGTGACTCCTAGACTCTAAGTATTTATGTACTCAAGAACCTGACAGTGGGTTACAAAATTAATAAAAATGTGTTCATATATATATTCTTTGTTTCATTCTTATACTTTAATGGTAGTTTTCAAAGATGAAATAACACTATTTAGTTTTTCTGGATTTGGGTGGGTGTCTTTTTCCACTGAAATTTAGGCAGCCAGTGCTTGCTTACATAGTTTTTAATGTGGCTTCCTGTGTGTTCTTCATGGTAAGATCTTCTGACAGTCACATGGCAGGTGGTATTTGTATAAGATCACCTTTAATGTATACAAGAGGAAAATGTTTATTCACAGCAGTGTCTTGCTCTTGAGACTAGTCATTAAGACTAGAAATGTTCTTTTTAAAGTAATGGATGAATCCATTTGCTTATCTTCCCATGTCTTGCTGACTTTTAGTGAATTTGCATTCTTGTAGATGGGGAGCCTCATTTAAAGTCAATGCAAAGTGTATACTACGGTCTTATGAATTTCATTTTCGTAAGGTGGAATGGAAATATCAGTGCAAACTATCATAACAATAAAAAGATGCTCATGTAAAAGGCAGAGGTAAGAGTTGTATGAAGGATGACTGCACTTATACTGGTGTTGATGCCAGCGCGGTAACACTATAGTTTTGAACACTTTTATATAATTGGACAGCTTTTGTCATGTTGAGTTTTATGATTTGAATTTCTAATTATTTCCCTTTTCCTGAGTAAGTACTTTAAATCAATTGTGTTTAAGATTGTTAAAAGCCAATGTTTAGTGGATACACATCTATTCCACATGATAGAATACTATGCACCCCCCAAAAAAGAATAATACAGCTGAACACTTGTATGATTTGTAAGACATTGTGCTAAGTGACAGATACAAAAGTCTGCAGGCCATATGATTACTGCTGTGGTATTTTATCTTCTCCAGTGACTGTCCTGAGTTAGATATCGAGGGGCTATTTTATCATAGCAAGATACCATAAATGAGATTTTTGGGGTGATAGACCTACCTGTTCAACACCCTGATTGTAAAGGATTATTCAAATAAGTTTAACAATCATATAACCTCACAGGCAAAATGCTGATTTTACTGTGTTTTTAAAAAGCAAACTTAAAAAAGCATATTTGAATGTTTAATTTTACTTATGGAGAACATAAAAATCTAATGATTCCGGTTTACTATTCTTAGTGACATGCATATTAGTTGTCCTCTTTTTAATTGAAAAACGGAGTCAATGACTTAGTTTAGGGGTATAAAAGGTGTAAAAATAACACATCTACTCAATGGATAATGCTTAAGTTCTATGCAAGAATCTAGGGGAATATTCAAATTTATGTGTCCCCCAGTGGTCATAACTTGTCCTCTTGTGCATATGGAACATTTTGCTTTTCCTTACTGTAACCATTCCTACCTTCATGTGTATATATGATGTGTGGCAGTTACAGTGGCTATGGGAACCATAACTTTAAGTTCTGTGACTTTTCTGTGCGTCAAACCAGCCATAATATTGAATTAATGTCAGTCCCTGTGGTTGTAAGTGGGAAACATACCACATATTCAAGTAGGAGCCTTTTCTTCATTTCTGACGGCATGTAAATGATGGTGGTGATGTGGAATAATTTTGCCATTTAATTAACATCATCATTAAGTACATTGAGTCAATCCTGGGAGAGGACATATGGCACGCTGATCTGTCTGAGGGAGGAGGAGGTTTAAGCATCCATCCGGCCACGCCTCCAATTAAAATCGGAAGACATCAACCCACTTGATTCTTGCCTAATAACACAGAGTTTAAACAGAGGTTCTGATCCTACTGCCAGTAGTTTTATAGCATTATCTTTAGGCAGGATTGGTCCAGTGAGGCACTGATTCATTAAATAAAACGAGAGACAATAGTGGGGGACTATTAGGTGCAGAACATTAGAGAGAACTGGTTACAGTTAGCTCCTCGAATGAAGCCATGGTTATGGGCATAGCAGAGCAGGGATGCATTAATTGGATTTATGGAATTGCATAGTCTACAGGCACAAAACAAAATTTTTGGCAGCAAAGGTGAATAAATTTCTGATCATTGTCATACAGCAGTCTTCAGACTGTTCAGCAGATCTCACCAGAGTGCCTTGATACACAGCCCATACAGGAGATACCGGGAGCCAGAGAGGTTGTGTTGTAAAGCTGCCGCTGCCTCCCTTCCTGTCTGCTGTCATGCTGAGCCCGAGAGGGCTAGACCTCTTTCTGCAGAGGCAGCAATGACTGAGAGCAGGGCCATGGAGAAGGTTCACCATGTCTGAAGTCCCCCTCCATCCTTTCTCTGTTTCTTCCTCTGAATGGAACAAAAAAGTCTTCACAGTTGAGCAACATTAGACCTGGGGCTGGTGGGACAGAGGCAGATTTGAGAACAGATTCCAGGAACCCCAGGGCCTTGGTGCCTCCTGGCTGAGGGACTGGGGTCTCCTGGCTTACTTGTCCCCAGGATTCATTTCTACTGAGTGGAACCTTTCTTGATGTCCCTGTATGCAGAGACAGTGGACTAGTGAGCTCCTGTTTGCTTAAAATTCCTCACTGACTATGCCTCTTAGGGGCTGAAAATTTCCCTTCAGCTCTGGATCTGGGTTCTGTTGCTACCTCAAGTTCTGTTTGAGTGAGTTTGTTTTGGAAAGCAGTTTGCCCTCCAGGCAGGATATCTGAATTGTGCCCCATACATCCCTGATGGTCACTGTGGATGGAAGGGCCAGGGCCGTTAGTGCCTCCAGTCCTGGCCTGTGCTGCCAACATTCACGGTGATGCAAGAAGCAATCTCTGCAGACCCCCTTCCTGTCTCCAATCTGGCCCTTAACCCGGAGGTCACTCAAATTTCTTTTGGGGGAAAAATCCCATCTTTTGGGAAATCACCCTGGCTGACTACTAAACACAAAATACTCTAATTGCTTGAGGTCCCCTGGCATTGGTCCTCTCCTTTCTGCCTGTTCTTCCAGGTAACTGTCCTCACGCGCAGTCTCATTTGTGCACAGAAGACCCGGCACAGGTGCAAACCCTATGGGTCCCATCCTGACCACCGAGAGATGCATGTTTCCCTGCCTTTTGGACCATCTCCTTAGGCTGGGAGGAAGCTTATGTACATTAGGAAGCTGATGCCCCCCGCTGTGAGGTCATGTGTTCTGAATTTGTACCTCCCGCTTTGGGGTCCATGATGGTAGAGTTGCTGGACTCTGAAGGTTTGGTGAGAGCTTTCAGATCACCTTTAGAAATGCTGCCTATCTTGTGGGCAGCTCAGGTCTCTGGATCCTGAGTTTCTCACTTCCCTCTGGAGGCCACCTGAAGGCCATCTGGCAGGATGGCCTCCTGCGGCTCTTCCTTCAAAGCTTTGCTTGCAAAGCATGTGGATGAGGCAGGGATGCCCAGGGTGTGGTGGACAGCATAACTGGCCTTAGCCAGATTGCAGTCGGTGACTTAGGTGTCCAGATTGATGGCTCCAAGTTCAGCTCTTCTTGCCCCACAGGAAGGCAGCCCACACACCTGAAAGTGGGTATGCAAATATCAGATTTCCAAAGGGAAAGCCGAGAAAGAGGATATTGTCGCAGCTTCATACCCATTTCCTTTTTAAAAGTAGACTTTCTTTTTCCTTTGCAGAAACTACCAGGCAATGGTGACTTGAACGTTTCCTTGACATCTCAACATTTTGAAGAACAATCTGTGAGTGAGCAATCTATAAAAATAAACACCAGACATCATAAATACCTCTCAAATGTTTGCACTTCTTAACCTCCTTTATTTCCAAAGAATGTTGCAATATATCCACCTACATAACCAGACCTTGAAAATTTTAGCTGAAAGAAATTAATTCGGTGTCTATCGATTGGTCAGAGTGGAATAGATTCTTCTAAAAATACACAGAAGCAAAGAAACAGTGCAATTGTAAAGGAGACAGAGCCATTTTGAAGTCTTCTGCAATTTTAAGAAGAAGGCTGTCAAAGGCACCTTTGGCCACAGGATCGATTTATTGAATGTCTGATAAGGGAATGATAAATAATTTCGTCCATGCTCTTGGAGGAAAAGCAAAAATTTGACCAACCTCAACAATTTTGTTTCACTCATGCAGTACCTTTACGGATGCAGGCTTGACTTTGCTCGCTGGTCCACTGGAGTTGAGAAGAGGGGAGAGGGAAGCTCAGGAGATGGGGAGGGGCGCTTGTGGGGCTCAGTGGAGGAGATGTTGATGGTGTGCAACAGACACGTGGGGCTCAGCAGGAGAGCGCTGCGGACACAGGAAAGGAGCAGGCAGCTGAAGGGAGCGGGCTCAGGAATGGGCCCAGAAGGGAATTTCATCACAGGTGGAGGAGGGCTGCCAGAGGTGGTGGGCTTTCCAGGGAAAGTGGAGCAGCAAAAGGAGACATTTTACACCTGAGCTTGAAGTGTGAATACATGTTAGTGGGACCCAGCCTCGCAACTACATTTTGACACTCTATTCCCTCTCTTTTTGCTCTATCGTGAGTTCTAATAAAAATCTCACAGTTGATGTTTTCAGGGGTATGTCCTACATCGGCGTTCCACTTATCAAATATTTGGAAAGTTCACCTTGTGAAGATACAATCATGATTGCTTCTAAATTCAGATAACACCCCATTGAGGGATATATAAAGGACTTTTGATAGAGCAATTTAACTGAATTATCAGTGAGTTCGAGTCCAAGATGACACTTGGCTGTTGTTGCGAACCTCTTTTTCTCCCTTAAAAAATATCTCTGCCCAGGCAGAAATTCTTTTGCTTGAGACCAAGACCTCCTGACATAAATGCCTTCTTCATCTCTGCAGGCTCTTGGGGAAGCCGGCGATGGCTTGAGTAACCTTCCCAGCCCTTTCGCGTACCTTCTCACCATCCACCTGAAGGAAGGCCGTAACCTGGTGGTCCGAGATCGCTGCGGTAAGGCTGTGCCCGTGGGTGCTCTTTGGTCTGTGACCCTCTGTCCTCTCCCTCACGTGGGAGTTATAAGTCAACCCTTTCCATGTCAGCAGGCTTCGGGACACACTGGAGCTCCAATCTAAGCCTTTGTTGTAACAAGATACTTTCAGGGAATGATTTAAATCCCTTGAGCCTTATTACCCTTCTTTATTATGAATTATGTGAAGCCCAAAAGTTGTTTTAGATTGAAGTGAGCTACCTCTGACAGCTTTGCAACAGGCACATGCTATTCCAAAAATGTTCCCATGCTCCTACTTTTTAAATTATCCATGGAAAAGATGGGAATAGCTGGATGTGGTCGTTCATGTGTAAAATCCCAGCACTCTGCAAGGCTGAGGCAGGATGACTGCAAGTTTAAGTCCAGCATGGACATCTACCTAGTGAGAAATTGTCTCAAATTTTTTTTAAATGTGGGGGATGTAGTTTAGTCCAAAGGCTTCAGTTCTTAGTAAAGCACACACGTACACACTCACATTCAAAGAGACACAGGCAGAGAAAGAAAGATGTTAATAGACTTGAAGGTTAAAATAGTCAGAAGTACAAAGTTAAACTTACCTGTTTTACCTTGAGTCACTCTGGATTCTTAACGGCTACTGTCTGATTGTGACTGTTTTATTTGCCTTTTATAATGCATATATATATATATATATATATACATACATATACACAAATACATACACACATACATACATACATACACACACATGCACACATATATATATGAAGCTGGGACTATAATATCCACATTGTTTCACAATAAGCTCCATTGTTTTACTTTATGACATCTCTTCAAGGTTGGTCATGGTTTTCCATGTAAATATGTTTCATTTCCTTCAAATACATGATACCCCATAGTATCTTATTTATCTGTTCTCCACTGGTGATAGCTGCTTTGCTCCCAACATCTCTGCAGTATAAATGCTTTTGTTAGTTACTTTTCTCCTTGCTGAGACAAAATACTCAACACCTAAAGTTAAAGGAGGGAAGGTTCATTTGACTCACAGTTTATACAGATTGCAGTTCATAGTGGGCTGGCTGCAAGGCAGGGAGGGCAGCGTGGCAGAGGAGCGTCGCAGAGGAGAAACAGTCCATGGCACGGCAGGCAGCTAAGAGCAAGCGAGTGACCTTAGCAGCTTCTTTCTGCTCCTTTTACATTGTATCTGTGCTACTGGGATTAGGGCAGTGGCAAACCAATCTGTGGGCTGATTTAGTAACCACCCATCCTTAATCGTAATGTCAAAGCACTCTATATCCAACAACCTCTGAAAAACGCTCCGCCTATGACTGCATGAGGCTTTGGGGCCACATCTAGACACAAGCCATGACAGTGATGCTGAGATGAACACACTGTACCTGGCTTGGTGCAGAGGAGGATATGATAGACTTTATTTAAAAAGAGTGTGTTTTTAAGAGCAGATAGTGGAGCCAGTCTGCTAGGGCTCAAACCATGGCTTCTTCATTCATGACTAATTCCTTTAAAAATGTTGTGGATCCCTTTCTACCTTATAGCTTCACCTATAAGATAGGGAAAGTCATGATAAGTACATTGTAGGCCATTCAGAGGATTGTAGGCACTGGTTTATATAAAAGATCCAGTATTCAGTTGAGTGTTTTCCTTCTAACATTTTGTACTTGGTTGCAATTTCCAGCCTTAGCATTTGTTTGTTACACATACTGCAAACAGTATTTCCCGTTTGCTGCTCATCCATAAGTTTTTCCTCCTTTGTCTTTTAGAAGTTTTTAATTTTATCCTAGGTTATATCAAGGAAGGAAGGAAAACAGGAAGGAGGGAATGAAGGCAGGCAAGCAAACAAGCATGCCTGAAGTTTAACTATTGAGTCGTCATTGTGTTTTCATATTTATCACAGCCCATTTTCACTTTGTGACTCTACTGATGGTAACGCTGTTGGAGAAGATTGAGGATACTTCAAACCTATGTTTGTGCTCTGCCTCTGAGATACCAGTCATTTCTCCTTGTCTATTGTGTTTTCATATTTATCACAGCCCATTTTCACTTTGTGACTCTACTGATGGTAACGCTGTTTGATACTTCAAACCTATGTTTGTGCTCTGCCTCTGAGATACCAGTCATTTCTCCTTGTTGCCTCCCTCGTAGGATATTCAGCTTCTTTTGCATGTCTGATCCTTTGTAGAGGCAGGCTCAGCCTTCATTGGTCCCTTTTCCCCACTGATGGATGCTCTTTTTGTTCTCTGAGTCCTGCCTCCCGGGAGGACCTGCAGCTATACTGGGTGAGCCTGTCCCCCAGGCTGGCTTCTTGCTGCTTCTCCCGGTTTTCCCCTGCACTTGAGGCCGTTTCTCTCCAGCGTCCTTCCTCTGGTCTCTGTTTCTGCTTGTCTCACGTGCTGCTGCTGGGCACTGTTAATCATCAGGGACGTGTATGGGCCCATCTAGGTGTTCTGTGGGTGCTCCCAGGGCCACTGCAGGCCTCTGCTGCCTCTGATCATCCTTGGCTCACCTGCCCCGCCCTTCTCTCTGCCCAGGACCCTTTTTGTGACTCTACAGCTTGTGTTTTGGGCCATGGATTCTTTCACATCTGTCTTCTTTTCACCTGGCTTCCGTCTTTCATGGCTATGTGAAGTTTGTGTTTCTTTCAACTTTTTTCCTTAAATTGCATCAGTAATTCTCCCTTCTCATTTTTATTTTTCAGATTTAGCATTTCAGAATTGTAAAAAAAAAAAAAAGAAATCCATTTTCTACTTGTCCCAAATGCATAGATTTTTCTTTCAAAATCATTGCTTCTTAGCTATTAATCGTACCCCTTCGTGTAGTCTACTGTGGATATTAATGCATCCCTTCAGCCTTGTTTATACTAAATTTCTCCTCAGTTATCACTCTTTTGTGCTGTGTTTCTCTTAAATTTCCCCCCTTCACAGGGTAAAATCACTCTACAAAGGGAAAACTCACTGAATACCAGTTCCTGGTTTATGTTAGATGCAGTTACATAACTATAGATCTTGCTCCTATAGGTACCAAATTAGCAGTTACCCCAGTTCATCAGTTTGTAGGCTTGCTTCAGGACATTGTTATTGTTAAATGTACTTCTTTAGCCAGGAGGGCATAGCTGTTGTGAAGAGATGTTTATGCTTTTATTTAACACACTGTGATTGTCTGTGGTTGTAATCATTACTGTAGTTCAGTACCAAAGGATTTAGAGGTAAGCCAAATAGATAGCAAGTTCTCATTCCTAAAAAATTGGGAAGGTAGCATCTTAGAACAAAAGACCAGGAGCCAGCTACACCTAGAATATATCCCTGAGGAATAGACATTTCCTAGGGAAGCCTCAATACTAAGATAAAGCTACCTAACAAGAAACTTACAAGCATAAACACAGAAAACAAACTAAAACAGAAAATGACAAATGCAAAAGCAAAATGTAGCCCCAGACCTCCAGCTCACTAGGGAAGAATCCAGAGGATGATAAGAGAGAGGAAATCAGAAGGCCACTGTCTGGAATTTTCTGAAATGGTAGCAGCAGAAGTACATAAACAGATAAATGTGGCCAAAAAGAAAGTCAGAGAAGAAATAATCTCTCAGATAAAAAAGAGATGACAATTATAATGATGAACCTGCTCAGGAAATCTAGAGTAAATATAGATAAAAATAGAGGATCTTTGGAAAATAATGGAAACCGTGAATGCCCAACATAGGAAAAAATGGAATATGTGAAACAGATTCACACATATCCAGGAAATTAAAAATTCCATTGGAAGCAAAGCTAAAATAACACAGGTGAAGACAGAATATCAGACCTAGAAGACAAAATTGCAGTTAGCAATCACCAAAAGAAAGATCTCTTAAAAATAACTGGGGTCATGAAAAAAAAAAAAACAACAGCTGCAAGATGATGCAAAGAACAATGTTAAGACTGATCAGAGTCAATGAAAAAGGAGTCAGCAAGAAGGACATGAAAAATCTGTTCACAGAGGTAATGGCAGAAAATATCCCAAGCATCGAAAAATGCATACAGATAAGTGAGGCAATATAGAACTGCAATCTGCCATGACCAGAATAAATCTACACCAACACATATAAGATCCCAGAAATTCAGTACAAGAACAGAATATTAAGAGCTGTTAGAGAAAATAAACAAATCACCTACAAAGAAAAGCCCATCAGAATCACATCAGACTTCTCAATACAAAGCCTTAAGATAAGGGAGCTTGGAGTGAAGTCCTGAAAGAAAATAATCTCTAACCCAGACTGATGTACCCTGCAAAACTATCTTTAAGAATCAATGGAGAAATAAGATACTTCCATGACAAAGAACAACGGAAGAAATTCATGACCACCAAACCAGCTGTACAAAATGGTCTGAATGATATTGTAGAGATAATGAAGACCACAGTTCCAAGAACAGCAGTGCAAAGAAGCTACCAGTCAAGGCAAACGATTAAACAGGAGGGAATGACAGGAAAAGAATGATGGGAAAATATGACAAGGATAAGCCAATCCATATCAGTAATAACCATCAATATAAATGGTCTCAATTCACTAATAAACGGAAACAAGCTGGAATAGATCAAGAAAGAAGATCCAACAATTTGCTGCATACAGGAGACACATTTAACTCAAAAAGAAACTCATAAACTAAAAGTCAAAAGATGGAAACAAATACTTCATGTGAAAGAAACCCAGTAAAAAGCAGGGATAATTATTCTGTTTGCAGACAAAGTGAACCTCAAGCCAAGACTGATCAAAAGAGACGAAGGTCACTACATAAAGTAGACTGTAGACTTACAAACTCAATTCATTCACAAGGGCAGTTGTAACTCAGGTTGGTTGATTGAAGGCTCAGACTCCTCTACACAGCCTTCAAAGTCTCTCTCCTATATACAGGCAGATCTCAGTGTCCTTAGAGAGACGCTGACCCAAGATTTCTCACTTACCCCCACACAGGAAAGGATGTTGAAATGTTCATTCCCAGACTATTTAAGGGTTA